ATTTTATATTTCGTTGGTACCGTTTAGGTATTGTATACAATATCCAGAAAATACATTATCGAAATGGTAGTATAAAATATTTTCTGATATATTTATTTTCCACATTTTCTAAATAGGCTCGGCATTATATGGGTTGTAACGGAAATGCGTGGTCATATTTTATATACCGGTTCTGCCCATGGAAATGAAAACCTTTCTTCATAAAACCAATTTCCCAAAAAAGTTGTACATATATATATACTTATATTTATATATATATATATATATATATATATATATATATATATATATATATATATATATATATATATATATATATAATCTGTATAGGCTAGGTCTTAGTAGTAAACAGAGATGTAAATATTTATAAATAAACCACTTAATGTAATGCAACTACTTATAGCGATATCCTGGGAAAAATAAAATAAAGGTTACCTACTTAGAAAGAGAGGATCTGCCCACAGAGAGCGAGATAATAATACATTGGTTGAGCTTCAAGTAGGTATTCGGAGTGTGGTCTCCATCTATATCTATAACTTCATGACTTCAACTAGTCGGCAATTTTTTTATAACTGGCTTTACGGCTCTGGGTTCTAACCCTTCTGAGGCTGAAGTTACAATGTGTAATTATCCTTCATAGCATACTGCTTCACAATATGTTGATGCGTCACATTGTGCAGCCCTTAGGAGATTTTGACGGCAACTTGAGCCAGCAGACAGCTGACAGTTGGCGATGGTATCTCAAGGTGCCTAAGCAGACATCTTAGACTTATCTTGAGAATCACATCACCATAAGAGCACTTCTTTAACCTTTTCCACTAATAGTTCATATCCGCAGACGCTTAATACACAAAATCGCACCACTTTTACGTACCAAATTCCACTTGAAACTATTATTTAAACAACAATACAAGTGCAGCAATCCTCCACCGTTCAAGTTCCCGCGAAAACTCCACAAAATTTTGTTACCAAAGAGTACAGTAACCATAGATGAGCTAATATAATCAGGAGATAGAAATTTTATTGTTAAAAGCTTACTTTTAAATTTTCACTTATTTTAACGTTATATTCTTCAATTAGCGATCATTTATCGTTACGAAGTAAAGAATTCGTGTGGAATTACATCTCTCGTTTTCCCATGCATCCGTGATCTGTGTTCGTCAATACATCAATCTTTTTATTTTCTAAAATTTGTTTATTTATTTTTACCAAACTCACAAACACACTGTGGGTTGCGTAGGCGAAATAAAATATTACTCTCAGTCTTTTGGTATTTACTCCGAATTTCAACGCAACACTATATACATACAGAAGGAGTATAGCACCAGCACAAATAGTTTGCAAGAAAGTATGCAGTACAGAAAAGAAGCAGAGAAAGTTCACAGTAATAACAATAATACGTAAGCGGGCAATTCTAAAGCGGTTAGCATCGAGCGACATGCACTTCGCGTCAGGAGCAGGTTCCGATTGGCGGGAGGTCCGTAAAACTTGGACGATGCGCATGAGTCGAACGAGGTGGCGAAAACAAAAGAACCGGTCTCGGTATGTCTGTTTCCATTTGCGATATACGTCACGACGGCGCGCTGGCTGAGTGTAATAACGTATTGTGTGTTAATATAAAATTAATGTATAAATACATATACATAATATTTTATATAAATATTATAGACATAAAAGTAACACTGATTAACATTAATAAATAAATATATAAGGTTATATATATATATATATATATATATATATATATATATATATATATATATATATATGTATAATGCTATAAATGTAGAAGAATAGCCTACAACACTTATTTCTTTATTTAATTGCGGTTATTTATAGAATCACAATCAAAATAACATGGGTACATAAAATTATCTAAAATATAAAAATGTATGTTTGTTTGCTTATTCGTATTTTATGCGCTGCTATATCGTTCATCCGTCTATCGTTTTTATCATTTATCGGTAGCAGTATAAAAAATTGTCAACTTAGTGCGCGAAGCTTATAGGTATAGTACAATTAACGTACAGTAGGTGGCGCACGAATCGTTCTGATTATATAACTTATATTATATTATTCCGTTACTTCCGTTAATTTAAACGTACAAGTAACTATGAATAAATACGCAATATATATGACATGGATAATTCTTGTAAGTACTAAGTAGCGCTGTCTTCAGTAAATGATAACGTGCCAACATTCTAAAATCATACTTATTGGGAGCTTTTCTGATGTCATCGGGCAAGGAGTTTCAAAGACGATTAGTTCAATGTGTATATTACGTAGTTAATTATCATTTTTATTTTGTTATTTAATTCTATACTGCTACACCTATGTCAAATTCTCACCTCTACATGGGTTGACTGGCAGAGAATGCCTCCAGATATTAATTCCGCCCTTTGTGTTCGTTTGTTCTAAGGAATGCAATAAAGAATAAGTAAATAGGTATTTCGGCAACTATTTTTTCTGCGGCAGCAATGAACCGAATACGATCTAGTATAAAATAATCACTAAACACACAAATAAGTAATCACTAGTAAACGTATTTTTGCTGAAAATCTGAGTCTTTTTAATTCAAGAATAATTATTAGTAATATTATACAAATGTAAAATAAAATAAAATCAAGTTCAAAAATTAATGTTTTCTGTGATTTTCTTATGCTTGTACGATCTTTCTCGTATTAAACCCCAAATATATTCTTCCATCATATTCTGGTTGTACTGCCCTCAGTCGTCAGTCAGCGTCGTTGAAAGTCTCATCACATCTTGGTAAAAACACGCTCCTTACCTCCTGTGTAACATATAAAGTTCATGGTACATCCTGCAGCCCATAATTTTAAAGTTTTCAATCATAGTTTCAATCAACACTTGATAATTGTCAGCTCTGATAAAAGCTGTGTTTTTTTTTTTCTAGAAAACTATTAACCACAACTTATGTAAGACTGTCCGAGACTTTATTTTCAATAGTATTGAGTAATTGTGTGAATTCATCACTGTTTATTTTTTTTCTGTCGTTCGACGAAAATGTCCGCTTTTACTTTAGCTTCACATAATTATGGAAACAAATCCCTTTTTAATATTCGAAAGCTTTAGAATTTGATCCAGAGCTTTCACAAATTATTTCATAAGGTCTAATTTTATATGCAACAACGTCATCAATATATTCTTAGCCTCTACACACAGTCATCGCTAGGGGAGCGCCCCCGCGCCCCTAGCTAGATATGGCATTGCCACACGATGCCCCCCCCCCCCCGGGGGGTCATTGTGTGGTAATGCCCTACCTCAAAATCATAATGCCCTACCTTAAAAATTATTATAATTAAATTGTTTGTTCATAGTTTGAGATAAAAAAAAATTGTAGCGATAGGTATCTACACCTTTCCGAACATACCACAGTTTGTGACATTAATTTCATATTATAATAATTCTTTGTTCTGTGTATACATGGCTTTTGAAGCTCATTCACATGAAGTGACGGATCTATTTAATTATAACCCTAATAGGCACTTTAGCTCGAAATTGACGGTAATTTGATGTTGAAATTACCTGAAAGCTGAATGAATTTGCCGACAATTTGACAGCAAACGTTGAAAATAAAAATTTGCGGTTAATTTTTCCTCAATTTAAAAGTAACTTTTTACGAAAAGAAAATTGTTGGTAATGTTCATTCTTACCGTTTCAGAAGGTAAGCAAATTTATACATAAAATTGTCTACAATTTGACGGTAAAAAAATACTTAACAATTTTTCAAGTCAAATTAACAATAAATTGACATAAAATTTGCCTGAAAATCGATGACAACTTTTTTCTAGTCCACTTTTGAAGTGAATTTGCATTCTAATTCGGGCAGTAAACCAGTAAATTTACGTTAAATTCAATAGCAAGTTGCATACAAATTGTCGTAAAAAATAAAAAAGTCCGAAGTTGTCGGAAATTTGACGAAAAATTCAAGGAAACTTTTGTAAAGTAAAATTTTGCTAAAGCAAACTGTGCTATTTAGCGAATATCTGTGATTCTGTGATGCAGAGGGGATTCCCCGTACCATAGATTGCAATTGGGGCTATATTGCAATCTATGGTATGGGGAATCCCCTTTTAACTAAAATAAACATAAATTAGATATTGATTATGATTGTTTGTAGTTTGGTTAAGTAAAGTGTACGGTAAAGAGTGTTTCAGTCAAAAATCGATAAAATTGTTATTGTTATTGCTAATTGCTATAAATTGAAGATTCATTGATTTTGCGATGGATATACGGACTTTTTTTAGAAAAAATGAAGAGTTTAAGAGCAAATTGACCATGAAGAACCTCACTGCTCAAAACAGGTGGAAGCACAAAATACAATCGCTACTCCTAGTTCCATGGCAATAAGTTGGTCAACACATGTTGGTAATGTTAACTATGGTATTCCTTCTGATATTGCACAAATCGGAAAACCAATAAAACAAGTTTTTGTTTGTCCAAAACAACATAACGGGGCCTTTGTTTTCGATTGGTTCAAGCGTTATAAATGATTGCAGTATTCGGTCGAGAAAAATGCTGCGTTTTACTATCTATGCTAGCAATTGTTACCTCATGGAAGCAAATAGACTTCGTACACGGAAACTGGAAAAATGCCACTGTTTCTAAAACTGGTTTTCCAAAACATGAAAAATCAATTCTCATATTCAAAAAAATTCTCATATTCAAGCTATATCGATGTGGCAGGAGAAATTACAAAGAATATCTACATCTAGCAGTGTTGAAACGTTAATAAATCAAAAATTATTACAAAAATATAGGTATTACGTGAAGTCTATCATTGAAGTAATACAATTTCTAATAGTCAACGAATTAGCTTTGCATGTAAATTATATTTTGGAAGAAGAAAAAGAACAAGGATTATTTCAGAATTTATTTGTACATGTATGAAAGATCCAAATTTGAACGAGGTTCTCACTCATATACCATAAAACGCAACATATCCTTCACCTGAAATTCAAAATCAAATAATTCAAGCAATGGTTCAAGCAGTACGACGTTCCATTGTCAAAGATATTAATGAATCTGACGTGAAATGGTTTGCTCTAATGGAAGATGGGACGAGAGATAAAAATAAGCGCGAAAATATTGCATTAGCAATACGTTACGTCAAGGATGGTGTCGTCAATGATTCGTTGCTGATGGTTAAGGCTACTGAAAACCTTGATGCAGCCACTTTCACGGAATTAACGTTAAATACCCTTACGAAAAATAACATTGACCCCTCTTGTATGCTTAGCCAATGCTATGATGGCGCAAGTGTAATGAGTGGGAAAGTCTCAGGAGTTGCGACTAGAATAGAAAATTAATTGGGGTGAAAAATTCCTTACGTCCACTTTAGTCATCAGAACTATCTCAGAAATGACTTTCATTCGTTTATTTTTTGACCAATGCATCATGTTACAGATGAAGAAATGATGAAAAAAGATAGGTCGACTCCTCGAACAACGCTGGTGTGGACATTTGGCAGTTACAAAAGTTGTATACGATAATTATTCATCGAGTTTGCAGACTTTGAAAGATATTAAAAACGGCAGATTGACAGAAACAACGATGATGACGTCGCCAAGAGTATCGGTATTAAAAAAGTTATATATACTTCATCTGGAATTGCGAATGGCCATGGTTGTGGCCAAAAATATCTTATCCATGCTATAACCTGCAGACGCAGCTTTGCAAGCCCGAACCGCAGGATTGAAAGATGCCATAGCAATCATAAAGTGTGTCGAAGATGAAATTATAAAATTAAGATCAAATCAAATGTATAATCAAATTCTGGAAGAAGCTAAGTCTTTAACAAGCGACGACTGCGGTGAATCTGAAAATAGGACACAGACCTGGAAGAGGCAAGTAAAAAAACTAAATCGGATGGATGACTATTTGACGTATGGGCCCTCCTGTTCCTCCGCCAGACAAAATATAGTACAGAACGACGAGCCATTTAAGTCTGAGTATTTCGAAATGTTGGACATACTAATTCCTGAATTGATTTGAATTGATGGACAACGATGATCTAATCAATTCGATTACAAGTTTCGATGAATTGGATGTAGGTAAAATGGTTCCACTGAAAAATTTGGGTAAGTTTGAAAGAATTTTATAATTTAAATAATTTTTGTCATGTTCAATTTACAAAAAGACCTGAGAGAGAGAAAGGCCTCCGCAATGTCCAAACTAACGGCCAACGCCTCCCCCTTGGACTCTACTGCCTCCGCCCATCTATGAGTCAAGTAGACCAGAAGATCACCAGCTGATCGACCCCGACGAAACCGTATTGGCGGTCACTAATCAGCTGGTGATCCTCAAGGTACCGCATGAGCTGGCAGTTAATAATGGATTCCATTATTTTGGAGAACAAGGAGGTAATGGCGATAGGCCTGTAGTTGGATGGGTCTGAGCGGTTGCCTTTTTTAGGGATCGGGTGGACAAAAGCTGTCTTCCATGAATTCGGGACTACACCATTGGAGTAGGAGTACTGGAAAAGACGCGTTAGGACCGGTTCCAACTCCGGAGCACACGTCCTCAGCACAATTGGGGGGATTCCGTCAGGCCCACTCGACTTCTGGATGTCCAGGGAGAGGAGTGCTTTGCGAACCAAGCGCTGTGAGAAAAGCGCATCCGGCATGGAGCACTCACACCGCGAGATGGTCGGCGGTGTTTTCCCCCCGTCATCAAGAGTCGAGTTGAACGCAAAAAGGGAGTCTAAAAGGTCGGCTTTGTCTTTTGCGGCTTGGGCCAGTGAGTCGTCCTCCCTGTGCAGAGATGGTAGTGATGGCTTACAGAAATGCCCTTGGACAGCCTTGGCGAGAGACCAGAATGCACGGGTTCCCGAAGGAAGGCGAACTAGTTCTCGCCAATTCTGCCTATGTACTCTGACTTTGCCTTGGCAATAACTCTTTTGAAGGACCTGGAGGCGAAGTTATACTTTTTTTTAAGTGCGCTGGTGTTTATATCCCGAGTTGCCGAAGCCGCAGCCCTGGCTAGATAACACTCCTGCTTACTGCTAATGCAGTCTTACAGGAGCGACCAAACCAAGGCTGAGATCTGCCTCCGATGGGTACCGATGATGGAATAAATAGTTCCATTCCTTGTAGCACCACATCAGTGACAGAGTCAGCAACAGCGCTGGGATCATCCGGTGAGAAGCAAACCTGTCCCCATGGGTAGGATGCAAAGAAAGACCGCATTACGTCCCAATCCGCCGACCTGTAATGCAGAACGCAACCGCGAGAGGAGCGTGAATGGCACCACACTCCGGATCAGACAATGGTCCGAAGAGCCGAGAGAGGCATCGACGGAAACCTGATATCCGTCCAGATAAGAGGTCAGCAGAAGGTCCAACAGGGAAGGTGTATGATCCTCCACATCTGAAATCCGCTTAGGCGAAGTAACCAGTTGTGTCAGACGATATGCCAAGGCAAAGTCATAAACAGATCTCCCCGCATGATCGGTTAAACGTGAACCGAGCCATTCGGCGTAATGGGCGTTAAAATCGCTAAGGATCACGATCTCTGCGGATGGGACCTGCTGTAGCAAGGAATCTGTAGCCGTTTGGACGTGGTCGATGAGTCGGTCTGTTTCGACATTACCGCTATGGGACCTAACACCAGTAGACGCGCGGATGGTCGTCGCTGTCTATGCGTAGCCAAAGGATGGACAGGTCCGAACCTTAAAAACTGCCGAGGCGTCGAGAACAGATGTCCTCTCTGACATACACGCAAACTCCAGCCCGAGGCACAAAAAAGTGCTCCAATTTATACCCCGGGCAGGAGAGATACGAAGTATCAGCCGGAGAAGACACCTGCGTCTCGGTAAGAAAGAGCAAGGCCGGCTTCGCCGTCTTGAGATGGTAGTGGACGGCGTTTAGGTTCGAGTGAAGTCCCCTGATGTTGCAGAAATTCATGGATAGCGTGGCAGGCGTCGCCTTGGTATTGTTGCTCAGTTTGCCGCGTGGCTCTACCACCGTTAAAATCAACAAATTATTCGTGTACTTCTGAACCTACTGTGCAAACTAACAAGTCTCCTCCTGAGATGCAACCACTGTTGATTAATTATGCTGTTCCTGAAGAGCTGAGATCATCTACTGCAGCCGCATCTTTTATAAAATCTTATAAAGAATTAGTAGGTGTTAATAATGTACATCCAAAAAATGAGATGATGCCGGTGACATCTATGAGTGATACTGGTTTGTTTGTGATAGTGACAGAAAATTGTGTACCTAGTAGCAGACCAAGGTCTGATTCTTCTAGCTCTGGTACATCTTCGTCAACTAGCACATCTTCGTCGTCATCATCTAGTACATCTTCATCGTTATCATCTAGTACATCTTCAGTAGATACCTAAAGTTATACCTAATTTATTCTTGTTGTGTGCTTTAGTGTGTTCAGGTAAGTACTTTTCCCCTGATGAAACAGATAACGATCCTGACTGACTGACATCTTCATCTAGCTGTTCTTTTCAACATGATAAAGGTATACAGCAAGTACATGTCGAATATTTGAGTCAAGAGGTAGTCCAAGAAGTTAATTCAATTCAGCAGGCAAGGATTCACGAGGTTTGCAAGAAGTTGATCCAATCCAGTAGCTAAGTGTGTGTACCTCTTGCACAAGTAAATGCAAAAGAAACATTGATTGATTTAATATTGTAAGAGACTAATGTTCGGGGAATAACATTTTTGGTTTAATTGCCATAAAAGTACTATTTTAAGTTTTTTTGAATAAATATTGATTTGAATAATTATTATTTAATTGACCTGTGCATAAAATACCTTTGAAATATATTTTAACAGTTCATATAATAGCTAGAATTCTATTTTTAATATAGTAACATTGTTTTTATACTAACTTTACCTGTATACTATATCTATGAACTTTACATAATTGAACCCTAATTGAAAGAATAATTAATGCAAAAGTGTTACTATAAAAATTAAAATGATTATAAAAATTTATTATAGAAAATATTAAATTAAAATGTAACACATCTTAAAAAGAAACCAATAATTTAACAAATAATCTCAGAAATATCTCATAATGTGTTCATTACTTTCTTATTAAGAGGTAAATAGTAATGAAAAAAATCGTAAATTAACTTTCCTGCAATTTTTTTTTTCGTTTTGTAACGGTTCGAAATGAAGGTGCGTTATGGTGAGTGTCTTTATATACTTATATACTCTTTGATGTTGATTATAGATGTGCCAACTCGGAAAAACTACGACTCGAGTTGAAATTCCCGCAACTCGAACTAAACTCGAGTTTCTCAACTCGAGTTAGCAGGACGAATTTATGATTCCTTATAAATTATTATTTTTTGTTTGTTTTTCTATTTAACTCTTTGACAGGTTGAGATATTTTAAACTTAGTATGTATCACTTACTTATGTAATCTTAGATAAAATAAGTACACCTATATTTAACAACAAAACTAGCTATATAGCAGTCTGCACAAAACAATACCAGTCTATTTTTAACACGTAAGTACATAAGCTATTAATAGTTTAATTATCACAGACAAAATATTCTTAAATAAATTAAATTTCGTTCAAGTTTTTTAATATTTATAGTAAGTTAAGTGTTTGTTACCTTTGGCGTTAATTTCAAATATGATGTATCTTACAACCTAACCACCCTTTTCGGGTATAATAGGTCTGTGACTTACTTCTTATATAACTATACTGAATAAAGTTGTTGGTTATAATTAAATAATTCATCAAATTTATAAAGGAAATTAAATTACATAATACTTAGCTATTATAAAATTCTATATATCAAATTGTTTTGGTTGTAGCTTTTTTTTTTATAGGATAAGGGTGACAAACGAGCACACAGTCCACCTGATGGTAAGTGGTTGCTGCGGCCCATAGACATCTACATCTATCCTCTGTTACAAATCAAAATGTAGATGCGTTGTCACCCGTGAGGACTAAGATGGAATGCCTCATTTCCAGTAAAAAGGGACTCCGGCCACCTGCACTCACCAAGCGAAACGCAGAGGTAAACTTCTACTTCACGCGGTTTTCTGTGAGGTCGTGGTACTACCCCGGTTCGAACCGGCCCATCCGTGCGACAGCAAAAGCTGCCGCGTGGCTCTACCACTTTTCTGAAAAATAGCTAATTACTCTTTTGCTTGCTCACTTGATCCGTTCCCACTCGAGTTAACTCGAGTTGGCCCATCACTAGGGATGGGCAAAGGGAAAAAATATATCGATATATATCGAATCTATATTTTTACGAATACGATACTCTAAAATAAATATCGATATGTCGATATATCGCGATTTAAATCGATATGTTTATTTAAAAATATCGATATTTTGTTATATCGATATTTATTACCCATGCCTACGCATCACTAATGTCTAATGTCATGTTGATTAAATAATTGACTTTTGAGTTTTGATTATTTTTTGAGTATTTTGAATCTCCGCTAGGAGTAAAGTATTCTGTGATTTTGAAGGCGGACTGTAAAATATTTTATTAGGTAAACAAGTAATAAAAATGTCTTCTCCGCCACCAACGAAGCCCCCACGGGGTGTTAAACAAGGGAAAGAAACGGTAATTTATTTTATATGACCATATTATCCGTAAAATATACATAATTATTACATTTATTTCACTCCCAACAAAAATAATTCTCTGGAGTAGCGAATATTATCCAAATAATTAGAAAGTTGCTGGTAGTTGTTCTTTGTGGTGAAAGAGCTGTGATTTTATCCTGTGTCCTGCTAAAACAATAGGAAACAGTACATTCTTGTAGTCATTGACGGTATTCGTTTCAATTCAATTTTTTTCTATACTGATATCTGGGAATTATTTATTTTTATTTATTATTATTAATATTTGCGCAATATTTAATTGAGGGTTTAACGGAAATAATTATGACACTTTTATTGAAATGTTAATGGTGCTCTCAACTAATAGATGGTTGAGGCTTTGACACCCTACTGATGTTGAAAACCCTTCTTATATGATGAACTCGAATCGGCAAAATAAGAGAAAGCAAGATAAAGAGTGCAATGGTAGTGTCACTGCCCTCACCAATGTGTTCACCTAGCATAGTAAGCGTGAGCAAGTTGTAGGCATGCCAATTAAATAGTCTGAACTTAAACAGATGACTGACCTCTATGTTGTGTCTTCCGCTTGTTTTAGAGTGGTCTTCTAATGTCTGTTATTCGGACCTTATCAGCAAGTGAGACAAATGAGCAGCGTGAAAAGGAGAGGGCTAAATTGGAAAAGGAGTATAAAAAGAGTGATGCCAGACTTGATGAGCTGGTTGCTGCACATTCACAAGAAATTACGGAAGTCATGCAGGTAACTCTTCCAAATAATTTATTTGAATCTGATACAAAATATGTAATATAATGTTATTATTTAGGTCTAAGTACTAATAACCAATAGAGGGAATCTGAGATAGCCAGCAACATCTGCCTATAACCACACAAAATAATAAAAAACTGTGTTGTAATTTCCATGTCATGTTATAATGTCTGTAACTTTTTTGTTGACTAAGATCACAAAAAGTGTGGCAATTATTTTTCTTTATAGGATAGGGTAACAAACAAGCACACAGTCACCCCTGATGGTAAGTGGTTGCTGCGGCCCATGGACATCTACATCTATCCTTGTTTGTGAATCAAAATGCAGATGCGTTGTCACCCGTGAGGACTAAGTTGGAATGCCTCTTTTCCAGTAAAAAGGGTCTCCGGTTCTTTACAGTCACCATATGAAACAGCAGTGATAAGCTGCTATTTTACGCTGGTGTTCTGTGAGAGCAGGGTCTTTCCCCGGTAGAGCCGACCCATTCGTGCTACAACTATAGCAGTAATATAGCTGTAGCATGGCTCTACCACGTAAAATTATTTTACATGGTAGAGCCATATTATTTACGTAAGTCTATTATTAAGAGTGACACACTTAAAATAAGACCCAATTTGTAAATAAAACAACAAAGGGTTTAATATACATTTCTGGTTCCTAAGAAATTATATATATTAAATGGAGATTAATTTTTTATTGTAGTTATCATTTGCTAAGTTTTAAAAACCTGCATTATATTCTATCTTACTCTAGTGCTCTTACTTTAATAGTATTAGGTATGTGTATGAGTTGTAATGGCCAAGTGTGTGCCTTATTGACTAATAAATACCTATACTATTTTTTTCAAATAGTATCTTATATATATTTCAACACATCTTTATGTCTTAGCCTTTACAGTCACTATGTAATACTTTTCTTTTGCTTTTTGTTGCATTTTAGAAATTCACTAGTGTTGGTGCAGCCTTAAGTGCTTGGGGTTCTCATAATGCAGCAGCAGTTGCCAGATTAGCAGCTTGCAGAGCACTACTACGTCTACGTCGTGCTGACTTACGCCGTTTGTGGGCTGATGCTCGTGCACATCACCATGCCTTGCAAATGTTAGCTGATATGTGAGTATTTTCTAACATTACAACACATAGTTTATTTATTTATTTTAGTAGATTCTCCAATGAGTTGCTATGTAATCTAAACATCCAAATGGTATTATTTTGTAGCTTTAAATTCAAATCCAAATAAAAAAAATATTGTGACTTTGTCTTTATCTATACATAATGTTATAGAATACAAATGCGTAGTGAGTTAGGAAGAGAAGGCTAAAAGGAACAAGGTCCCAGGTGGCAGATTATGGGGGCAGCGTTTTTGAGTAAGAAAATTCACCTGTTCTGGAGCCTTCAACTTGTTAAATGATTGAATAAATCTACTTTACTTTAACTCACGTTGACAAAGTGAGTATATAAATAATGAAGCATTTTCTTAGTTACATAAAAGAAATCAGTGTTAAATTGTCAAAACTTTCGCAGTTTACATAACAAAGAACTAGTCTTCTCGTCGGCTCAAAGTCGACTAAAGAAGTTCCCGAAAATCAATCATAGCTTAGTGCGCAATGTACTAGTCCCGTAGTTTTTTCTAATAGGATAGAATGACAATCGAGCATACAGTCCACGTGATGGTAAGTGGTTGCTGTGACCTATCTATCTACACATTTGCATGTACGCCCCAAATGCTATTTTATTTTATACTAGCTGTGCCCCGCGGTTTCACCCGCGTCATCACGTGTCCGAGGTGCGAGACATGACCTAGTTCAAGCATTTTATAACGGTTAGGGTTTCTACGTGGTAGAGCCATGCTGCAGCTATATTATGGTTGTAGCATGAATGGGTCGGCTCGACCGGGGAAGGACCACGCTCTCACAGAAAACCTGCGTAAAATAGCAGCTTAACGCTGCTATGTTTCGTATGGTGAGTGTAGAGAACCGGAGACCCTTTTTACTGGCAAAGAGGCATTCCATCTTAGTCCTCACGGGTGACAATGCATCTGCATCTTGAGTCTTTATTGAGGATAGATGTAGATGTCTATGGGTCACAGTAACCACTTACCATCAGGTGGACTGTGTGCTCATTTGTCACCCGATCCTATAAAAAAAGCGACGTTCGCGCGCCCAGCCAAGTATTGAATTATTTTAATTTTACATTATCTCTTAAACTATGCGTCCAAATAACATGGTATAAAGAACAAAGTTTATCTTCATAAAATTGTCTTGATGATGAAGTAACTTTCGTTCGTAAGGATAATAGGCCATGCCTAATAATAACGCTCATAAATCACTTTTAAATTTTAAATATTTTTTTGTCACAAAATACCAAATTATGGCTTATGTATAAGAAATAGACATATGGTATCGCGGACTTTTTTTTAGACGGAGTAAAGGTCTATATTTTTCTAGAACATTGTATTTACGTATCCCTAACGATAACACCAGCGTACGCGGATAAATCATTTCGGGAGTACTTTTTCTTCTGACTTGCTTAACAAATATCCATATTTAAGGCTAGTTGAGTAATATAGCTTAATGCTAGATAGCCTATACTATTCCACATGAATCTGGCTATAATACACAAAAAGAATTTTTCAAATCGGACTGGTAGTTCCAGAGATTAGCGCGCTTAAACAAACAAAAAAACTCTTCCGCTTTATTATATTAGTATAGATGATAAGGTTGTAGTGTGGTATAGCAATAGTATAGCAAATATAAGCAAACGAGCACACAGTCGACCTGATGTAAGTAGTTGCTGTGGTTGCTGTAGCCCATAAAAATCTGCATCTATCCTCAATAAAGAATCAAAATGCAGATGCGTCGTCACCCATGAGGACTAAAATGGAGTGCCTCTTTTCCAGTAAATGGGTCTCCGGTTCTCTACACTTACCATACGAAACACAGCAGAGTCGAGCTGCCATTTTACACTGATATTCTGTGAGAGCGTGGTCCTTCCCCAGTCAAGCCGACCTATTCATGCTACAACTATACTACTAATATAGCTGCAGCATGGCTCTACCACCTATATTGTTATTATTAAGTATAATTTTGTGCACTTGATGAAATTAAAGAGTGTCTTGTGCAGAGAGCGTGTGGTGGTGTCAGAGCGTTCATGCAGAGAGCTCGCTAGCGCGGGCCGCGTGCTGGCGGCAGCACACGCTCTGCAGACCGCCCTGCACACGCGCCGCACGCAGCTGCCGCACGTGCGCGCGCTCTCCGCCACCGCGGACAGTCTGCAGGTGAGCTCGGCCGTGGGTGTACGTATGTGCGGTGCACACTATACACTGTACACTGTACACTACACGCTGCACACGCGCCGCACGCAGCTGCCGCACGTGCGCGCGCTCTCCGCCACCGCGGACAGTCTGCAGGTGAGCTCGGCCGTGGGTGTACGTATGTGCGGTGCACACTATACACTGTACACTGTACACTACACGCTGCACACGCGCCGCACGCAACTGCCGCACGTGCGCGCGCTCTCCGCCACCGCGGACAGTCTGCAGGTGAGCTCGGCCGTGGGTGTACGTATGTGCGGTGCACACTATACACTGTACACTGTACACTACACGCTGCACACGCGCCGCACGCAGCTGCCGCACGTGCGCGCGCTCTCCGCCACCGCGGACAGTCTGCAGGTGAGCTCGGCCGTGGGTGTACGTATGTGCGGTGCACACTATACACTGTACACTGTACACTGTACACTACACGCTGCACACGCGCCGCACGCAGCTGCCGCACGTGCGCGCGCTCTCCGCCACCGCGGACAGTCTGCAGGTGAGCTCGGCCGTGGGTGTACGTATGTGCGGTGCACACTATACACTGTACACTGTACACTACACGCTGCACACGCGCCGCACGCAGCTGCCGCACGTGCGCGCGCTCTCCGCCACCGCGGACAGTCTGCAGGTGAGCTCGGCCGTGGGTGTACGTATGTGCGGTGCACACTATACACTGTACACTGTACACTACACGCTGCACACGCGCCGCACGCAGCTGCCGCACATGCGCGCGCTCTCCGCCACCGCGGACAGTCTGCAGGTGAGCTCGGCCGTGGGTGTACGTATGTGCGGTGCACACTATACACTGTACACTGTACACTGTACACTACACGCTGCACACGCGCCGCACGCAGCTGCCGCACGTGCGCGCGCTCTCCGCCACCGCGGACAGTCTGCAGGTGAGCTCGGCCGTGGGTGTACGTATGTGCGGTGCACACTATACACTGTACACTGTACACTACACGCTGCACACGCGCCGCACGCAGCTGCCGCACGTGCGCGCGCTCTCCGCCACCGCGGACAGTCTGCAGGTGAGCTCGGCCCTGGGTGTACGTATGTGCGGTGCACACTATACACTGTACACTGTACACTGTACACTACACGCTGCACACGCGCCGCACGCAGCTGCCGCACGTGCGCGCGCTCTCCGCCACCGCGGACAGTCTGCAGGTGAGCTCGGCCGTGGGTGTACGTATGTGCGGTGCACACTATACACTGTACACTGTACACTACACGCTGCACACGCGCCGCACGCAGCTGCCGCACGTGCGCGCGCTCTCCGCCACCGCGGACAGTCTGCAGGTGAGCTCGGCCGTGGGTGTACGTATGTGCGGTGCACACTATACACTGTACACTGTACACTACACGCTGCACACGCGCCGCACGCAGCTGCCGCACGTGCGCGCGCTCTCCGCCACCGCGGACAGTCTGCAGGTGAGCTCGGCCGTGGGTGTACGTATGTGCGGTGCACACTATACACTGTACACTGTACACTACACGCTGCACACGCGCCGCACGCAGCTGCCGCACGTGCGCGCGCTCTCCGCCACCGCGGACAGTCTGCAGGTGAGCTCGGCCGTGGGTGTACGTATGTGCGGTGCACACTATACACTGTACACTGTACACTACACGCTGCACACGCGCCGCACGCAGCTGCCGCACGTGCGCGCGCTCTCCGCCACCGCGGACAGTCTGCAGGTGAGCTCGGCCGTGGGTGTACGTATGTGCGGTGCACACTATACACTGTACACTGTACACTACACGCTGCACACGCGCCGCACGCAGCTGCCGCACGTGCGCGCGCTCTCCGCCACCGCGGACAGTCTGCAGGTGAGCTCGGCCGTGGGTGTACGTATGTGCGGTGCACACTATACACTGTACACTGTACACTGTACACTACACGCTGCACACGCGCCGCACGCAACTGCCGCACGTGCGCGCGCTCTCCGCCACCGCGGACAGTCTGCAGGTGAGCTCGGCCGTGGGTGTACGTATGTGCGGTGCACACTATACACTGTACACTGTACACTACACGCTGCACACGCGCCGCACGCAGCTGCCGCACGTGCGCGCGCTCTCCGCCACCGCGGACAGTCTGCAGGTGAGCTCGGCCGTGGGTGTACGTATGTGCGGTGCACACTATACACTGTACACTGTACACTACACGCTGCACACGCGCCGCACGCAGCTGCCGCACGTGCGCGCGCTCTCCGCCACCGCGGACAGTCTGCAGGTGAGCTCGGCCGTGGGTGTACGTATGTGCGGTGCACACTATACACTGTACACTGTACACTACACGCTGCACACGCGCCGCACGCAGCTGCCGCACGTGCGCGCGCTCTCCGCCACCGCGGACAGTCTGCAGGTGAGCTCGGCCGTGGGTGTACGTATGTGCGGTGCACACTATACACTGTACACTGTACACTACACGCTGCACACGCGCCGCACGCAGCTGCCGCACGTGCGCGCGCTCTCCGCCACCGCGGACAGTCTGCAGGTGAGCTCGGCCGTGGGTGTACGTATGTGCGGTGCACACTATACACTGTACACTGTACACTGTACACTACACGCTGCACACGCGCCGCACGCAACTGCCGCACGTGCGCGCGCTCTCCGCCACCGCGGACAGTCTGCAGGTGAGCTCGGCCGTGGGTGTACGTATGTGCGGTGCACACTATACACTGTACACTACACGCTGCACACGCGCCGCACGCAGCTGCCGCACGTGCGCGCGCTCTCCGCCACCGCGGACAGTCTGCAGGTGAGCTCGGCCGTGGGTGTACGTATGTGCGGTGCACACTATACACTGTACACTGTACACTGTACACTACACGCTGCACACGCGCCGCACGCAGCTGCCGCACGTGCGCGCGCTCTCCGCCACCGCGGACAGTCTGCAGGTGAGCTCGGCCGTGGGTGTACGTATGTGCGGTGCACACTATACACTGTACACTGTACACTGTACACTACACGCTGCACACGCGCCGCACGCAGCTGCCGCACGTGCGCGCGCTCTCCGCCACCGCGGACAGTCTGCAGGTGAGCTCGGCCGTGGGTGTACGTATGTGTGGTGCACACTATACACTGTACACTGTACACTACACGCTGCACATGCGCCGCACGCAGCTGCCGCACGTGCGCGCGCTCTCCGCCACCGCGGACAGTCTGCAGGTGAGCTCGGCCGTGGGTGTACGTATGTGCGGTGCACACTATACACTGTACACTGTACACTACACGCTGCACACGCGCCGCACGCAGCTGCCGCACGTGCGCGCGCTCTCCGCCACCGCGGACAGTCTGCAGGTGAGCTCGGCCGTGGGTGTACGTATATGCGGTGCACACTATACACTGTACACTGTACACTGTACACTACACGCTGCACACGCGCCGCACGCAGCTGCCGCACGTGCGCGCGCTCTCCGCCACCGCGGACAGTCTGCAGGTGAGCTCGGCCGTGGGTGTACGTATGTGCGGTGCACACTATACACTGTACACTGTACACTACACGCTGGACACGCGCCGCACGCAGCTGCCGCACGTGCGCGCGCTCTCCGCCACCGCGGACAGTCTGCAGGTGAGCTCGGCCGTGGGTGTACGTATGTGCGGTGCACACTATACACTGTACACTGTACACTGTACACTACACGCTGCACACGCGCCGCACGCAGCTGCCGCACGTGCGCGCGCTCTCCGCCACCGCGGACAGTCTGCAGGTGAGCTCGGCCGTGGGTGTACGTATGTGCGGTGCACACTATACACTGTACACTGTACACTACACGCTGCACACGCGCCGCACGCAGCTGCCGCACGTGCGCGCGCTCTCCGCCACCGCGGACAGTCTGCAGGTGAGCTCGGCCGTGGGTGTACGTATGTGCGGTGCACACTATACACTGTACACTGTACACTACACGCTGCACACGCGCCGCACGCAGCTGCCGCACGTGTGCGCGCTCTCCGCCACCGCGGACAGTCTGCAGGTGAGCTCGGCCGTGGGTGTACGTATGTGCGGTGCACACTATACACTGTACACTGTACACTACACGCTGCACACGCGCCGCACGCAGCTGCCGCACGTGCGCGCGCTCTCCGCCACCGCGGACAGTCTGCAGGTGAGCTCGGCCCTGGGTGTACGTATGTGCGGTGCACACTATACATTGTACACTGTATACTACACGCTGCACACGTGCTATATTACACACCATACACTACACACTCTATGTTTCATACTATACACTATACATTTCACACTATACATACAATACACTTCACACCATGTACTGGAACTGGCCACTTGTAAACGATATAATAAAAAAATAAGTTCAAATTTTGAAAATGGAACTCTGCCAATATTATTATGTATGTATATTATTAATTTGTCATTTGTTTACGATTTGGCGGCAAATTTAAAATTATCTGTGTGACGTCAGCGTGAATTTAACGCGAGAAAATTGTCTTTCGATGACATTTAAGTCAACAAGAAAGTTATATAGACTTCGATTGGTCTTTCACATTGAAGCCCCACCTCGTGCCACTGTTTACAACTGGTTTAATGAGTTTAAACGTGGTCGCACTAATCTCATCGATGATCTGCGTGAGTCTGCTTCTACGGCGACGACTGAGAGTTTGACGACTGAAGTTATGCGGCGTGTGATAGAGAAAGAGTGACTTATCAGCAGATTCGGACAAGCTTAGGCATCGGTATGAGTCAATTGTACAAAATCCTCCATGAACATTTAGCGATCAGGAAGCTTTGTGCCCGGTGGATACCTCATAATTAGACAGAGGCCCAAAAACTCCGTCGTGTTGATTGGTGTCGTGAAATGGTTCAAAGATTTAACAGAGGTGACGCAAATGCTCTCTTGACATAAGAAGACATAATAAATCCAGCTTTCGTCAACTTACGGGTGACGAAAGCTGTCTCGGAAAAAGTTCGGGAGAAACGACCTCGCAGTAGGAGCCTCCTTCACCACGACAACGCCTCGTCGCACACCGCCAAACAAACAATCGACTACTTGGCGACGTTAGACATGGAATTACTGGGTCATCTGACCTATAGCCCCAACCTTGCGATTTTTATTTATTTCCGAAAATAAAAGAAAAACTTCGAGGAAAACGTTTAATGCACGCCGAGGAAGCAGTGGCTGCGTTTCAAAATGCCGTCGAAGAGATCCCTAAGGACGAGTGGGCAAAGTGCTTTTCTCAGTGGTTCCATCGGATGCATCGATGTATTGATGTAAATGCACACTATTTTGAAAAGATATAATAAAACTAATGTTACGGCCTACAGCTGCCCTTGCAAAGGTCGTCTTGGCTGGCGCCCATAGCAGCTTCTTCGACGGGCAGACGCAGGTCGGGCCTCAATATGGCCACGTGGAATATGTTCTATCACAATAAACTATATGGGGAAAACTAGAAACCGATAATACTTACCGGTAGCCGAAGCTAACTTCGCTCCAAGGCTTGGACAGGCCGTGAGTGTGTGTAATGGTGTTTGGTGAACAGTGTACAGTGAGGTGTGAATGTGTGAGGCCTGGGCAGGCGTAGGCGACCAGTAGCGGCCGATTTCCAGGCTGCCCCAAAATGCTGCATCGCTCCAGACTGCTCCATCGCCGGCCACTTCGTTCTTCACTGTCACTAATTTAATCTCTTAGCTTCATTGTACATTTAACTAACTTCAATTCGCCTAATTCCACACTCATCGCAGAATCGAACACGTGATAACCGACACGGCAAGGACAGTAGCACAAAATTCGACATTGAATGTCCCGGATTCACTTATCACAAATTATAAATTCGGCACCAGAATAACACGTCGCGACAGAGTCAAAATACGGCTCGTTGACACGCAAATTAATCTAATTAGGCAACCCAAACACAAAAGGCACTAACCGCGACGACACACCATTATAACGATATCCTGACAATTAATCGGGAGAAGCTCTCAAACAAGGAATGCGCGGCTTAATCCTAGACCGTATATCTCCTCGACGCGCGTACACTATTCCGCACTCTCGCACGAGTTAACTATCGTACAATTCACATATCTACGTGACGAAGAAACTCGCACTTCATCTAGCTAATATGCACAATTACTTTCAAAGAAGTTACTTAAACCGTAAAACCCCATAAAGGCCTCTTGTACAGGAACCTAAATCCTAGATCACCAAATCCGAGGCGGATTTCACGAAGCCCAATTACGTAGCGAAGCCACGCGCCCAAATCCAAATTCTAGACCCTAATCACCCAAAACCGATCTCGCGCGAACTTCCGCACCGATAGCCGAAACATTCGGCTTAACCGGGTCGCTGCTAGCAAGGTACTCTGTCACCCACTGTCTCGCCCGACCGCCAAGACGCTGGGAAGCTCCCTTCCGCTGCCTCCTCCCCGACACACGCGTGACACCTGGTACGATCGGGCGATTGGCAAAGTCGAACGTGATTGGGTGCTGTCCTAACATGACAATTTTTGGCCTAAACAACTAATAACTTGCTAGTTTGTTCAGTATTTGATTTTTTAAGAACTTTCAGTGTCACCCTCGTATAACCTTTTACCGCCGGTCAATATTCAATACTTTTAATTTCATATTATACACTACACACTACATACTACTCACTGTTCCCTACACACCATACACTACACACATTGTTGCAGTTTTGTATTGGCGAACTTCACATTCTTCTACGTGGTAGAGCCATGCTGCATCTATATTATGGTTGTAGCACGAATGGGTCGGCTCGACCGGGGAAAGACCACGCTCTCACAGAAAACCAGCGTAAAATAGCAGCTTAACGCTGCTGTGTTTCGTATGGTGAGTGTAGAGAACCGGAGACCCTTTTTACTGGAAACGGGGCATTCCATCTTAGTCCCCACGGGTGAAAACGCATCTGCCTCTTGGGTCTTTATTGGGGATAGATGTAGATGTCTGTGGGTCGCGGCGGCCACTTGCCATCGGGTGGACTGTGTGCTCGTTTGTCACCATATCCTATATAAAAAAAAAACATTTCTCCGCAATATACAATTATTAATTATGCGGGATCTTCACAATGTTTTCCTTCTCCGCCGGGCATTATGGTTATGTATTCAATTTGGTTAGGCAAAAATTTGATTAGTGCCGGCTAAGATTGAACCTGGTTTTTCGCATACTTTGTAATTAAGTACTGTCTTTAGATATGCGCCTGTTAGTGAGGATCAGACCGAATCATATTCACGGTTATTATTAGCATATTAAATTATGTTTTTTTTTTTATAGGATTATGTGAAAATCATCTTTTAACTTTTATCAAGTTGGTTCTTAGTTTTCTAAATTAGAATTATTATAACTAAATTCTCTTTCGTTGACAGGCCAAAAAGTTGGAGTTAGTGGACCAGATAGTCCGTAGGCTGAGTGACGCCGTGTACCGCAGCGAGCGTGCACCTCTGACACGAAGGCTGTCGGCACGACGGCGCACTGCCTTACTATTAGCTGGTACGTTTTTATTTAGTATTTTTTATTTTTAACCCAATTTTTGGTTAATTATCTTGCAAATATTATAGAATTGTGGCACATTTATTTAGTTTATTCTTTATGACAAAACATAAAGTAAAATATTCTGAATTGGTAAACAATATACACGAGATCTCGTCTTCGACATACGTATATACCTTACCCGATGACGTCAGAAATACATCTAATAAGACTGCCTTTAAAAGATTGGTTCACAAGCACTTTAATGATAGTTAGTATGGTCAATTTGGTTACCTTTGTTGTTATTCTATTTATAGGTTTATGTTATATATCTATTTGTATTTATAATATGTATATATTTATGTACCTATATATTTGTATGTAAATATAATATATTGTCTGTATTATATTTTATAGTATTTAAGTTTATTGTATTTATATATATAATATTAGTTTATTTTTAAGTTTATCAGTAGTTTTTTTTCCTTGATTTACTCTATTGTTCATTTTATTTTGTCACCTATCACCTAATTTCCACACGTCCCGGGTTGACTGGGAGAGAATGCCTAAAGGCATTAAGTCCGCCCTTTGTAATCCTTTAATTAAGGTGCAATAAAGTGTAAATAAATAAATAAATATATACTCGTAAATAGTAGATTTAATGTTAACATTTAATGGGTTTGGGATGTAATGGTACCGTGTAGTGGCGGTGTCCACTACCTATATATCGTCCCGTGGATGTCGTAAAAGGCGACAGAGGGAAACAAATCAGGAGATGGGCAGTAAGTAACATCTTCCTAATAACGACTAGAAATAAATAACCGGCCAAGTGCGTGTCGTACTCGCTCATGAAGGGTTCTGTCCGTACCATCGTAATACACGTTTCTAGTAGGGGAGCCCCTTTTAATTTTTATTATGTTTTGTTGTTATAGCGGCAACAGAAATACACATTCTTTGAAAATTTCAAGTGTCTACCTGTTACGGATCATGAGATACAGCCCGCTGACATACAAACGAACGGACGGACAGCGGACGGCGTAGTAATCGGGTCTCGTTAGTATTACCCTTTTGGTACGGGACCGTAAAAACTGCGGTTGCCAACCCGCTTGCCAAGCGTGGCCACTATGGCAGATATCTAAATAATATGAGGCAATCTATGGGGAGGAAATTTCACATGCCATTAGATCATTTGAATGAAAAAATAACATGATTAAATTTTTGGTCACTTGAATTATAATTCTATGTTTGATGTTTTATAATAACACTAGCTGACCAGGCAGACGTTGTTCTGCCCTTTCCGACGACACTTCCTATAAAAATCCTTAAATTCGCAATAAAAAATGTTGGGGGTCATTTATCGGGATAAAAACAATCCTTTTTTTTTATAGGATAAGGGTGACAAACGAGCACACAGTCTACCTGATGGTAAGTGGTTGCTGCGGCCCATAGACATCTACATCTATCCTCTATTCCAAATCAAAATGTAGATGCGTTGTCACCCGTGAGGACTAAGATGGAATGCCTCATTTCCAGTAAAAAGGGCCTCCGGCCACCTGCACTCACCAAGCGAAACGCAGAGGTAAACCTCTACTTCACGCTGGTTTTCTGTGAGGTCGTGGTACCACCCCGGTTCGAGCCGGCCCATCCGTGCGACAGCAAAAGCTGCCGCGTGGCTCTACCGCTGTTTAAAATCTTATCTCTTAAGTTGGACCAAAATGCACACAGTGTGCAAAATTTCATTGAAGTCAGTTCAGTACTTTAGGAGTCCATCGCGGACAAACAACGTGACACATAATTTTTATATATAAAGATTAAAAGTCTGAGTTTCTTATTCTTCGTATTTTTCCTTTTTACTTCAATAAGGAGAAGGTACTCAATTCGACTGTATTTTTTATGTGTGTTACCTCATAACTTTTTTCTAGGTGAACCGATTTTGATGATTTTTTTTTATTTGATCAAAGGCTGACTAATAGTTTTCGAGTTTTCCTTGATAATTTAAATTGAAGTCGGTTGTACAAAATGTTTATTTTTACCACTTAGAGCTGACAAAGAGCGACGAAGTGACAGACTCGTATTTACAAGACATAACTCCAGAATTTGAAGCTTCTTTATCAGAGGAAGACAAAACATTCGAGACGACTGTTATGATATCGCTGGAGGCATTGGGTGTGTTGGAGCAGCTCCAGGAAGCCACAGAGGTATCTTGCTCTCCTTTGCTTATCGGTAGTTCCGTTATATTTTAATAATATATTGTTTAAGGTCTTGAAGGCATTTATGATTTCTGTCTTTGTGTTTATCACAACATGTCAGTCAAAAATGTTATATAATTTGAATTAAAACCGTAAAACAAATCGCTTAAAATAAATTATTCAATGATTTTCGCGTAATGGCGGTGTAACAATACATTCTCAGTAGCAGGCCGGTGCTAAAAAGTTGTCGGTGTTTTATTTCCGAACCGAAAGCAAGTAAAGCCGTTGGCCCTGCGTCTGATGTCATTCCGGTCATGTCGGATTGCTGTCCAATTGGACTCTGAGAGTGAGGGAATAGGGAATGCACATGTGCTTGCTATTGCACTATAATCCTGTCTTGCACTGATGACTAGTTTCTTCCTGTCAGCCAGTCCTGTAGGATATTCATTCATTCAGACGATGACGATGGAATATCATCACACACATGTTATTGCTATTCCATTATTCTTTTTTTTATAGAATTAGGGTGACAAACGAGCACACAGTCCACCGGATGGTAAGTAGTTGCTGTGGCCCATAGACATCTACATCTATCTTAGTTTGAGAATCAAAATGCAGATGCGTTGTCACCCGTGAGGACTAAGATAGAATGCCTCTTTTCCAGTAAAATGCGTCTCCGGTTCTCTATACTCACCATACGATACACAGCAGCATTAAGCTGCTATTTTACGCTGGTATTCTGTGAGGGCGTGGTCCTTCCCCGGTCGAGCTGACCCATTCGTGCTACAACTATACTACTAATATAACATCACGTATAAAACTTTTTCAGAATAAAAGTAACATATATATTAAAATGCTATACTATGGTGACGTAAGGAAATCAACTTCCTCGCCATAATATCCCGTGGGTGTCGTGAGAGGGGATAGAGGGAAACTGAAACAATGGGTAGGCAGTACCATTTTCCTGACAACATCTCGAAATAATAAAACTGCGATTGCCAACCCTCCTTTTAAGAATGGCAACCATAGCGAAGTATCTCTATAAGCCAATCTGGTAGGCAGGCCTATATTCAGCACTGAACTTGTGAAGGGATGTAGAGAATAAAGTAATGAACATTTTTTAAATACGTTTTAATTTTATAAATGCGTTTCTTTATAAATTACAGAAATTCAAAGTCCAAATCCAAACGGAGCTATTGGAAGTGATCGATTCGATATCACGTCGCATCATTGAGGAGGGCGATGTAGAAGCGGAGCCTGAGTGCGAGGAGGACGGCGATATGCCTGAGAACGAGGGTGTGACAGAGACAGGGCGAGCACTTGCGAGGTTTGTTACGTGCTTGGGAGAGGAGTTTAGAGCCTGTGGAGCGAGGAATAAGAGGTATATTTGTTGTTATTTCATAATAGGCATCTAGAGAAGAGCTTAAATTCCCAAATTAAATACATAAATAAAAGTTTTTTTAAGACTATAATTCTTCAGACAATAACCTATTGTTTTATATTTAGGCTTTTACAACTTTGGCGCGCTGCCTTGCAGAAGTATCGACTACCCGACACGACGTTGCACACGGAACAACACTACTGGAGTGCCGTACAGCAAGTTGTTAGTATATATATTTTATACAGTATGTACATTACATAAATAAACACAAATAATTACCGAAGAACCCGTGCCTGGTCATTATCTGTGTAAGTCTTCCTGTTCTTCGATGCATCCAAGCTTCAAAATGCGGCAGGATTGCTTCAACAACTTGTTTGCGCGCATAACGCTGTTTAGAGAAGCGAGCGCGCCCTGTTACGAATGCGTTGTCGTTCTTGCCGCTTGACCCCTTCGAACAGCTCATCTGGCTCACTCGCCACGCTCTGGCGGAGGACACGCGTGCGGTCGTGCACGCTCGCAGGCCGCCGGCGGTGCAGCGTGCAGAGCGAGCCGGGACCGCCGCTGCCTCACAGGATATCGTGCGGTATTGTCGCACAAACCGTATGGCCATCCTCCGTTGCACACTGTACATTTTAGCTCTACGGCGTCGGATGGCCAACCTTTTCGCCCAAACAGACGCCCCGTACAAGGCTACGGACCGTATCACTCCTGCATATTGGCGACGCACTTCTTCCCTTGGTCCCCCTAGATTGGCAGCAGTCTATGCATAGCACCCGCTACCCTTTCAATCCGGGGAACAGCATCTACTTACCATCAGGTGCACTGCTCGTTTGTCAACTTATTCTATAAAAAATAGATCTTGCAACAGAAATAAGCTTACATTTTGATCTTCAGCTGCAACTGCTGCTGACGGAGTACCTGGAGATCGAGAGCGTGACCCTGGCAGCGCAGCGGTCTAACAACGTGGCCTCGGAACCCGCCACGGAACTCCGTCTGGCGGACTACTTTGCAAAGAAACGACCGCCTAGACGCCGTAGCAAACTATTCCGGCTTGCAGGTTGATGTTGCCGACTAATATATATATATTTTTAACGTGAATAGATTTTTATTCAATTTGCCATAATAGTGGGAGGTAATTCAAAAAATTGATGACAACAAAATCGAGCGATACAGTTTAGTATTGCACCTACATATCTATCATCTATCTCCAATATTTTACTTGGTGGAGGTATACTGCAGCTATACTATGGTCGAGTACGAATAGGTCGGATCAACCAGAAAGAACAACACTCTTACGGAATATCAGCGTAGAATAACAGTTCAATACTGCTATGTTTCGTATGGTAAGTGTAGAGAACTGGGGACCGGTCTTATTGGATACGAGAGATGTCACGTTAGTCACTGAGTGATAACGCATCTGCATTTTGAGTCTTAATCGAGGATAGATGTAGATTTATATGTGCTACAGCATTCACTTACCAACGGGTGGACTGTGTGTTCGTTTGTCACCCTAATTCTATAAAAAAATCTTTTTGAAAATAATTATTAACTTATACCACTTTCGGTTAGGAATCATGTCTCTGTCCTGGGAAAACCAGCAAGAAACCCAACAGGACTTTTTCTACAGTAACATTAATATAATCACCATTAATATATGTACACAACGTACAATTGTTTTCAAACCTAATTTAAAAAACAGTATGTGAGAACAAAACCATTTGAGTGTGTTCTTAACTTTTTATAAATTGATAGAATTATTTCAGACAAATAATAAAAAAAGAAATTTGTTTTTCTAATCGGTACCGTTTTCTGTCGTAACAAAGCAGTGGGTTATTGTGAATCAATGAATTCGAATTTTGTGTTGTATAATGTATTGTTTATGGCTGAATGTAAAAAATGTACATCTGTCTGCAGCGGTGACTACATTGGGAAGTCCCGCTGCGAGCGGTTCGCGAAGGCAGCGCTATCCGCTGGTGTGCCGGCCTCAACCCGCGCTGTTGCACGCCGCGCTGCCAGCGCTGCACCCGCTGTGCGCGCACATCGAGTCGCTGCCTGGGTACGTATCGCCTCTGGTGTGCAGCCCTCGGTCCGCGCTGCCAGCGCTGCACCCGCTGTGCGCGCACATCGAGTCGCTGCCTGGGTACGTATCGCCTCTGGTGTGCAGCCCTCGGTCCGCGCTGCCAGCGCTGCACCCGCTGTGCGCGCACATCGAGTCGCTGCCTGGGTACGTATCGCCTCTGGTGTGCAGCCCTCGGTCCGCGCTGCCAGCGCTGCACCCGCTGTGCGCGCACATCGAGTCGCTGCCTGGGTACGTATCGCCTCTGGTGTGCAGCCCTCGGTCCGCGCTGCCAGCGCTGCACCCGCTGTGCGCGCACATCGAGTCGCTGCCTGGGTACGTATCGCCTCTGGTGTGCAGCCCTCGGTCCGCGCTGCCAGCGCTGCACCCGCTGTGCGCGCACATCGAGTCGCTGCCTGGGTACGTATCGCCTCTGGTGTGCAGCCCTCGGTCCGCGCTGCCAGCGCTGCACCCGCTGTGCGCGCACATCGAGTCGCTGCCTGGGTACGTATCGCCTCTGGTGTGCAGCCCTCGGTCCGCGCTGCCAGCGCTGCACCCGCTGTGCGCGCACATCGAGTCGCTGCCTGGGTACGTATCGCCTCTGGTGTGCAGCCCTCGGTCCGCGCTGCCAGCGCTGCACCCGCTGTGCGCGCACATCGAGTCGCTGCCTGGGTACGTATCGCCTCTGGTGTGCAGCCCTCGGTCCGCGCTGCCAGCGCTGCACCCGCTGTGCGCGCACATCGAGTCGCTGCCTGGGTACGTATCGCCTCTGGTGTGCAGCCCTCGGTCCGCGCTGCCAGCGCTGCACCCGCTGTGCGCGCACATCGAGTCGCTGCCTGGGTACGTATCGCCTCTGGTGTGCAGCCCTCGGTCCGCGCTGCCAGCGCTGCACCCGCTGTGCGCGCACATCGAGTCGCTGCCTGGGTACGTATCGCCTCTGGTGTGCAGCCCTCGGTCCGCGCTGCCAGCGCTGCACCCGCTGTGCGCGCACATCGAGTCGCTGCCTGGGTACGTATCGCCTCTGGTGTGCAGCCCTCGGTCCGCGCTGCCAGCGCTGCACCCGCTGTGCGCGCACATCGAGTCGCTGCCTGGGTACGTATCGCCTCTGGTGTGCAGCCCTCGGTCCGCGCTGCCAGCGCTGCCAGCGCTGCACCCGCTATGCGTTACATGTAATTTATTGAAGAAATAATTATTATATTTTATTCAATTGATGGTATTGGTGGGGGGGGGGGGGGGGGCAGGCGAGTGATTGCTGCGCGCTTTCGTCAAGGGGTACTAAAAGTGATATATTTTTGGTTTTTGATAATTTTTTATTTTGTATAATTTTTTTGGTTCAATCTTTTTACTCAGGTTTATTTTAAATTATTGTTTACGCTAAGATTGTTGTTTATGAGATGTGTTCTTTTTAACAAAATTTTTAGGTAGTCGTTTTTACTGACTTTTAACATTAAGCCTGTTTTTAATTATAACATGGTGTGCGCAGAGGGGCGATTGTTCGTTAAACGACGTTCGTTACGAATTACTAAAAGTTAATATACAACGTGGCCGCTACAACGGTAACACTCGGGTAGGGCTAGTGCCCATTAATCATATTAATTTTGATAGGTTAAAATAACTCGTAAATTGAAAAATAATTCAAACAAACTTAATAATAATAAAGTTACTAAAATTGGGATCAGCCTTGCAAAAATTCATTCATGAAATTGCTTACCTAGCTGGCTTACGTTAACTCGGAGCGGCAACGCGTCGCTTCGCGCGCTGGCAACCGCGCAACGCGTCTTGTGATCGGTCCGATTCTTTGACGGCTTATTATCAAAGAAACCGAGCGGCGCCGGAGAGTACCTCCAGCGGAGGTGCTTAGTCGAACACTTATCATATCACCCTGGCTTGTTACTATTAGTTATAACTCATCATCACTAATCACTGCTTTTATTTGTCTTTATTTTAAATTTTCTTTGTTTTAATGTGTGTTGTGCACCAAACGTGTCATTTAGCCACTGCCTGGCTGTTGTTACAGAGTCTGCTGGCGCGCCATCTAATTGATACATTCTTAGGTATCAATGGATGTTTAGGTTGTTAGTGTATTCTGACACCGTATCATTTAGTAGATTAACTAACTTTTCTCCGTTCAAAGTCCCATCAATGAATACAGGTCCGATGATGTTGTCACCGTGAATAATTGCCCAAACATTTACCAAATCTGTACTGATATGATAGGCTGCTCACGCCAAGCGCGCGAATTTTGGTTTTTAGGTACCCAATTGTGCAGATTGTGCTGGTTCCACATGGCGTTTCTGGTGAACGTATTTTCGTCAGTCCATTTGAGAAAGAAAGTCATTGTCCTCTTCAATTTTACTCAGTAACCACTGACAATAATTCACTCTTATTAATTTATTACGCGATAGCAGAGTATGTGTGTTACGGCCTACGGCTGCTCCCTTAAAGGATCCAATCCTCTGGGGCCCATGAGCAGAAGACTTCCCGAGCAGACGTAGGTCGGGCCTCAATGTGGCCACGTGGAATCTCTCGAATTACACTAAAATATATGGGGGAGCGTTCTATACTACGGCCAGTCGACCGGCAGAGGAATTAGGCGGAGCTTACTTACCTATATCCAAGGCGACTGGTCCCTCCGGAGTCGGTCAGGTCACTTGTGGTTGTGTAGTGAAAGGGAAATAAGTGATGTGATGTGTATCTGGGTGTGACTGATGGTGATTGAACCTAGACCTTGGCCGTCGGCAGCAGCCCGAGCGTCGACACCGCTCCAACTTGAGGGGGCCTTCCGAGGTTGTTCACAGTCACTTTCTTCTTTCGTCACGATGACAGTCAATTAACTCTATCGTACGATTAACTAACTTACAGAAGCCACTAACTATCGCTGGGTATAAGGTTAACGCACAAACGCACACGGAGTTTATGGATCAAAGGTCACGACCGTTTCGCGTAGCAACAGTTAGTTCTAGAATATCCGAGGCTGCACTAGCTAATATTGTCGAATGCACTTATACAGATTCTGAGTCGGACCCAATAAGTCCCGGGAAAGGCTATCCAAACAGGGAATGCGCGTTATAATTCCTAGACAGGATATTTACTAGACGCCCTAACTATTCCGCGGTTCCCGCACAAAATTAACGGCGTGCAGACATTAGCACAGCTGGCAGACGACTGCTGCGCTTGCGACCCGCGTGCCACTTGCCACGCTCGGCCGAACTTCAAACCGGTATCGCCGAGCCGCGCGCCCTCTAACGTCAATCCCGAAATCAGCGTTCGGGCGTAAACAAACCCCCGTCCCGGACATAAGGATTTAGGTCCGCGAGCAAACCGGTCAGCGGGACAGGGTCGCGACGGCAAGTTGCAAGACCGAATCTACAACCAAACTAGGCCACCTTAGGCAACCCATCAGATCTTGCAACCCTAACCAACGCCTCAAAAGATAGCCCTAATGTGGCAAGCCGGAGCGTCAGCCTCCACTGGATGCCCCTCCTGGTCATCGCAGCACTTTAACAAGTCCTGTACTGGACAGAAGTCCGACGACCTCTTTCAAACACCTATCTGTGCCCCTATGATTAGTTCCGCAATCCGACCGGATCAGCTCTGCAAACAGCGACGCTACACGAAGCTGCCCAGACAAATTTTGTGCCAGCAGTTGCTTCAGTGCAGAGCGCACCCGCAAATTCCACATGAACGTCGTCTGTGAAGAGCCGAACGAAACGCACAGATAGTCCTTAGTATGAATTTTCAACAAGTAGGCCTAGCCAGGCCACCCACCATATTATCATTTACTAAAATAGTGCGGCAGCTGATTTCAATCTGATAATCTCCAAAACTAGCTAGCCTGTTAGACAAGCAGTCCTATGCTCATATTTCAACTAATTTTTCAAAGCATCAATGTTCAACTACAGAATCAATTCAACCAAATTAATCACCGATGCACATAGGTCAACTTGACAAAAATTAAACAAAACAATAACGTAAGGGACAGCCCTACTTCTTCATAAAGCAAAATGATTAAACACTATCATAAACATATACATAATTTTTCAAATCCATTCAATTTCACATGAATTCAAATTTTCCTTTCAGCAAACAGACGCAACAATCAAATACAGTGATTAAATATATTTACAAAACACATGCAGTAGCATTTAAAGGAGTAGATAAAATAAAAAATATTAGTCGACGTAATTATGCGCACTTACAGTAGTGCGCATAATTACGTCGTGTGACAAGGATACGGATTCGGCTAGCACTAGAAAAGCAAAAAAAAAGAATTCGATTTCGGTGCAGCGAGGTGAAATGGCGCGCGTCGCCTGCGCCGCCCGCTCGCCGGCAAAGGGATGTCTCTTTCTTTCAATAGTATTGCTTATTCGTTTTAATTTCAATGATGCAATGTTATGATCTGTGACCCCGGCAAATGACCGCTGCGCAAACGTTATCTAAGTACAGATTCCTCTAAGATGCTATTTTCTAAAAATTTTAATAAATTCGTAAATAATAACGTTTAATTATTTTTAACGTTTGATTTCAAGATTTGACGCCAGAGGGCGCTCGGCTCGGTGCATTCGTACCGGTTTGACGTTCGGGCGAGCGAAGTGGGTTTGGCGCGTGGCGCGGCGGAAGTCGAGACAGTGGCTTGAGAGCAGCGATGCGGTCGATTAAAGTATTTTGTGGTGATCGCTGCAGCGATTTCGCGTGATCAGTTTTGGTTTTATGTTAGATAAGCTGATTTTGAATCTTAATGCGGGCGTAGTATTTAATATCGTACGAAGGAATTTAGTTTGTCGGTTGAAACGCTGAACTATGTGACTCGAGAAGAGATCGCGTTCTGGTTCGTGATTATAATCTTGTTGCTACGTGAAACGGAAATGAACTTTGATCCAACGTTTATTAGTCGTGCCGTGTGTTACCTTTTTGATTACGATTAACGGGGATTTAGTTGAGTTTGAAGTTAATTAAATGTATGGATTGAAATAGTGTGCAATAAAGTTGATAAACTGAAATAGTGAAGTGACGTCGGACTTGAGGTTGGATGGGGTGAGCTGCCGCCTTTAGAGAGAGGCAACACTGGATCTGGCCAAACATTATACACACTACTATACACCAATCACACGCACCTACACCTACCTACGGCGTGACCGAGGCTTGGGGCGGTCTTAGCTTCGCAACCAGGTACGTACTATTTATTTACCTAGCCTTATCTCTATTGTGTAGGTCAATTTTCCATAGGCCGTTGGTCCCCGTCCCCTGCTGCTCGTTGAATCTACAGCTGTATGGGCCCCTGTATGGTCGACTTTGTTGGGGCAGCTAGGGGCTTGTACAGACGCGTTATTGTAAGGCGGTGTGTGCAGGGGCGGCGAGTGTTCGCTGCGCGCGTTCGTGACGGACTACGTGCGGGCACCGTTGACAACTTACGAGCCGTGCCCAGTTAGAGGCGGAATCCGACGGGCAAGTCGTCGTCAACCCCCCTAAAGCCGATGGAAGCTCCCGCGAGAGGGCGCCGCTCCCTACCATCTCACAGTGGCCCAGTGGCCAGGGAGGCGCCCTCCTGTTCCTATTGCCGAGCATCCGATCACCGGGTGACGTCGTGCCCGAGTTATTAGGTAAGCCGGTTCCGGCTAGGCGAACTATCGCCAAGGAGCGCCGCTGGTGCTACTTTTGCTTGGAAAGGCACCTACAGCGAGACTGCCCGCACCAGCGGCCCTGTCCGCATTGCCAGGGCAAGCACCATGCAGTTTTGTGCCTGGGTGCCAACGGCGTCTCCTCTCGGGGCTCTGCCGGGCCCTCGAACCCTACGGGCGGGGGCGCTCAGCCACGCCCTCTGTCGGGCGATGCTCGGCGCTCGCCTGCCAGTCACCGAGCCCCTAAGTTTGAAAGGGGTCCCTCTCCCGACCAGTCGGGGGGTTGTTCCCCCAGGGGCGGGGGTGTCGTCGCCCCCACTCAACGTGTGGAGAGGAACTTCACGGCCACTCAGCAGTCAGCTAGACCCTTCTCACCCCCGTTAGCTGAGTGGCCGCGGCTGGGGTACCGCCGTACCCCCTTTGATGGAAGCAGCCCTAGCTAGCTGCCGCCCTAGCTCCCACAACGGCCGCCTCCACTAAGCCTTTGAGCCGTCAACAGTCCACTTGTTTTGACAAGTGGACTGTTGAAGGCTGAGTGCCATTGGCAATAGAACAGTTTGCTGTTCTGTTGCCGACGGCCTCAGTGAAGGCGTACAACCCGAGTGGCGACTGTTAGCGGCTCGCGCTCTACTGGATTCGGGTTCACAACGCTGTGTGGCCTCCATTTGGTTGGTGGGAAGATTAGGGCTCCTCGGGAGCGTTGAATTACGCTGTCAAGGACTATTAGATTTGGTTTGGTCGAACACTTAATTGATAATGCTTTAAATTAAAATAAAAATGCTTTGGGTTTTCCGCGAAATGTTTCATAGTTGTAGCGGTTGTTAGAAGAAAATTGAAATTGAATGATGTGCTCTTTGAATGCGTGTGCATATGTTTTTGTAAATGTATTTGATCATTGTGTTTGCTTTGTTGAAAAGGAAATTGAAATTGAATAACCCTATTTGTACCGAATGGAATAAGAATCATTCCTCTCTTTGTTTTCACATTTTTGTTGGCACTGTCGAAGATATTTATTTGGAAAGAGAAATAGGGCTGTCTCTTACGTTTATCGTTTTGTTTAATTTGTCTGTTTGATCTATGTGCATCGGGAAATTAAATTGTTTGAATTAATTCAGTAGTTGAACATTGATGCTTTTGGAACTTGGTTGGAATATGAGCATAGGACTACATGTCTAAAAGGGCTAGCTAGTTGGGAGATTATCAGATTGAAATCAGTAAATGGTTACATGGTAGATGGCTTGGTTATGCCTATTTGCTTGAAAAATCATACTAAGGACTATCTGTGCGTTTCGTTTGCCTCTCCACAGACGCCGTTCATGTGGAACTTGTGGGTGCCCTCTGCACTGAAGTTTAGGTGGCCACGCTGGGCCGCTTCGTATCGCGTCGCTGTTTGCAGACCTGATCCGGTCGGATTGCGGAACGAATCTTAGGGGCACAGATAGGTGTTTGAAAGAGGTCGTCGGACTTCTGTCCAGTAACAGGACTTATCTAAATAAGTCTGTAGTAAATAAGTGCTGCGATGTCCAGGAAGGGCATGCAGTGGAGGTTCGACCCTCCGGAATGCCCACGTTGGGGCTGTATTTTTGAGGCGGTGGTTAAGGTTGCAAGATCTGATGGGGTGCCTAAGGTGGCCTAGGTTTTGGTTGTAGATTCGGTCTTGCAACGTGCCGTCGCGACCCTGTCCCGCTTGCCGGTTTGCTCGCGGACATAAGTCCTTATGTCCGGAACGGGGGTTTGTTCGCGCCAAACACTAGTTTCAAGATTTGACGCCAGAGGGCGCTCGGCTCGGTGCATTCGTACCGGTTTGACGTTCGGGCGAGCGGAGTGGGTTTGGCACGTGGCTCGGCGGAAGTCGAGAGAGTGGCTTGAGAGCAGCGGTGCGGTCGATTAACGTATTTTGTGGTGATCGCTGCAGCGATTTCGCGTGATCGGTTTTGGTTTTATGTTAGATAGGCTGATTTTGAACCTTAATACGGGCGTAGTATTAATATCGTACGCCTATTTATTTACCTAGCCTTATCTCTATTGTGTAGGTCAATTGTCCATAGGCCGTTGGGCCCCGTCCCCTGCTGCTCGTCGAATCTACAGCTGTATGGGCCCCTGTATGGTCGACTTTTGTTGGGGCAGCTAGGGGCTTGTACAGACGCGTTATTGTAAGGCGGTGTGTGCAGGGGCGGCGAGTGTTCGCTGCGCGCGTTCGTGACGGACTACGTGCGGTGGGGCGAGAGCGAGCGCCTGGCGCGGGACGCGCGCATGCGGATTGACGCCGCCGCGCGCGCGCCGCACGCCTGGCGCGAGCGCGCGCTCCCGCACGACACAGCTGCTGCGCCCAAGTACGTGCAATCTCACAAAACTCGAACACAACCCACTAATACAAGTTTCAACACAGATACAACCCAGTGATACCAGTTTTAACACAGACACAACCCAGTTATACTAATTTCAACACAAACAAATTCTAGTTGTTGACATTTTGTATATTTTCCGATATCATCCAGTTGCTAAATACTTTGCTTTATTATTGCTATAAATGTTGTAAGGCCTGCTAATGAAACTGTCATTCGAAGAGCAACAGTTAGTGTTGAATCTATATAAATGCTACTAAAATAATGAAACATTGACTGCAATTGTCATAAAGTATCTCGGTGTGTGATAGGTGATTATATGTCGTGAAGACTAACGCCATATAAAATATACAGATAATAATAGATCAAGTGTCTAATTTTATGTACATATATTTCTTTCTGGTCCGATAAGTCGTCCAATATTTACACTATTGATACCAATTTTAACACAGACACAACTTAGTGATTGTATCACACAAGCTAGTGATACCAGCTTCAACACAAACACAACCTAGTGTTACCAGTTTCAACACAAACTAATAACACTAGTTTCTCGACTCCACAAAATCCGTAATTCATTCATGGGGCAGTAGAAATAGAAGCATCTTACACTTTTTTTTTATAAAATAAGTGTGACAAACAAGCACACATTCCATCAAATGGTAACTGGACACTGTAGCCTATACACATCTACAGTTATCCTCGATTAAAAACAAAATGTGAATGCGTTGTCACCCGTGAGGACTAAGATGAAATACCTCGTGTCCAATAAAAAAAGTCTCCGGTAATCTACTCACCATACGAAACACAACAGCATTAAGTTGCTATTTTACACTATTGTTCTGTGAGACCCCGGTCGAGTAGCCCCATTCTTGCTACAACTATTACATAGCTGCAGTATGGCACTACCGCTACATACTACGACACTATTGAAACAGAAACAGAAACTTTTTTATTCAATATAGATTATAAATAATACTTATTGAAACTCTTTTGTTTAGTTACCACTGGTTCGAAAAAAAAACCTCTGTCTTGGGAAGAACCAGCAAGAAACCCAGCGGGACTTTTTTTAAAGTAATAGCTTACAATCATGTATGTTACACAAAATTTTGAACTTTGAGCTGGTCAAATTTTGTATATTTTCTGAAATTTTGTTGTAAAGGCGTATACATCGCCCCAAGAATGAATTACCGACTCGATGGAGTCGAGTACCTGGTACTACTAGATTGCGTCTGTTCTGAGAGGCCAATGTTAATATACAGGGTATTTTTGGAACGCTCCTGAAAACTAAGACAGACGACAGTACCAAGTACACCTTTGATGATGGGTGGAATATAAAATCGATCCTGATGAATGAAAAATCATCTTTTCAAAAAGTTTTATTAGCTTTATTCATTCTCTATGATGTTAGTACAGCTAAACGAAACGATAATTTCATAAAAAAAATCATGAAAATACTGAAACATAAAACCAGCAGTGGAATTACTGAATTCATATTAGCTCATTAAAGGTCAATGTACGCGCGAACGCTGAAAAAAGAACGCTGGCCTTGAACCTGGGCACTGAGCGATTTATGAGAAGGTGAATGGGGAAAATTGTGCAGTAAAGTTAAAAGTGTTGAGGAAGAATTCCGAAAAAATTACCATGTGATCGACCTGATGACGGAAGCTCAAGCGAAGATGAAAGTGATGATGAAGTAGCATCCAGTAACACCAAAACACCATCAACATCTGACTTCCATGTGACCCAAGACGACATAATGGACGGCGTGTCACCCTTAGCTTAAGTTTTCTTGTTACAAACTACTTTATATTTTACGATAGAAATAACAAATAATGCTCAAGTAAATATTATCCATTTTTAATTCCAACCTCTTCCAAAGTTCTAAGTAGCTAGTAAAACACCTATTATGATTCTACAATAAAACAATTAATTACTATAATATTATAAAACAATAGCCCAATACCATGTAGTACTTTAGAACGCAACTGCACCCACACTCCCTCCACTGTCGACCTGTATCTAGCTCTGTGCCAAACAATGCTGCCATCATAAGAAAAAAAGGGCGCATCTAACAATTTTTGAATAAATGAGTTAAATATACCATTCGACTCATGATAAGAAGGCGCATCTACTAAATTTTTTTAATATTCGAAAATATCAATATTTTAGAAAATATCGTAAGAATTTTAGACGTAACTGTTGATCACAGATGCCATTTTTTTAGTAGATAAGACTTATACAAATTCAACATAAAAGAAAAGACTTATTTAACCAGTTGCTACGTCATCTTTAACAATATTTGCATTGATTACTTAAATTTCGATTATTCTTAACTTAACTTATCTTCACGCACAATCCCTGACGGGGTAGCCAGAGAGAACAGATCGCCAAGTGTCACGATCCTTACAAACCTCTTTCGCTTCTTTCAGATTCATTATCTTCTTCATGCATGCACGTCTAGGTATCCGAGTACTTTTGACCCTACCCTCTTCGAGCAATTTGCTCACATGGTCTTCGAAAGTTAGTCTCGGTCTACCTCGACACCTTTTAATATTAACTTTCGCGCTATATATTTTCTTCACCATTCGGTCTTCACTCATTCGCTCAACGTGCCCAAACCACCGAAGCACGCCCTTATCAATTTTTGTGATAAGGTCATCTTTCAAACCTGCCATATTGCGAATCTCTTCGTTTCGCTTTCGGTCGGCCATGGTAACGCCGCACATTTTACGAAGAGATCGCATCTCCACTGCATTCAACTTACTTTTATGCTTCTTCTGGCATACCCAGGTTTCGCTGCCATATAATAAAGTCGGTACCAACACTGCGTTATGTATTGCAAGGCGTGCACTCTTCGCTACGCCTTGCCTTTTGACTAACGCAGTCAGGGCACCATTGACTTTGTTCCCGGCAGCGACACGCCTGTCCACATCTAAATCACATCTTCCATCCCGGCTAAAAGCACTCCCCAAGTATACAATTTCATTTACCTGTTCTAGACATTCCTGATTTACCCATATTTCACACTTCGTTCTCTCTTCGTCCCTTTCAAATACCAGAACCTTAGTTTTATTAGCATTCAAACGGAGACCTTTAATTTCACATTCCTCTTTCATACACGTGACTAATGCCTGCAGTTCTCCTCTGATGATGCAATAAGCACTGCATCATCAGCATACAGCAGACAATTTACTTTAATGTCACCTAATTTCACACCCAAACAACTATCTTTCAGCTTCTGTAAACAGCTGTCGAGATACAGTATGAACAGCCAGGAAGACATGACACAACCCTGCTTTACGCCCGTTTGGACGTTAAACATGGGTGACAGGTCATGCCCTACCCGCACACAGGCTTTACAGTCACAGTAAAGAGACTGCACAGCCCTTAGCAATCGACCATCCACACCATACCCCGGCAACAGTTCCCACATTTTCTTCCTTACAACCTTATCAAATGCTTTCTCAAGATCCACAAAAGCACAGAAAATCTTCTGGTTAGCAGCCAGAAGCTTCTCCGTGATCATGCGGAGAGAAAACATTTGATCCGTGCATCCTCTTCCAGGTCTAAATCCGCATTGTGCCTCCCATAGAAATCTTTCCGATTTCTCTTGCATCCTACGTGTCAAAACCTTCGAGTAAACTTTACTTGCTAAACTGGACAAGCTGATCGCCCGATAGCACCCGCAGTCAAAATGTGAACCTTTACCTTTATATATAAGGGCACAATGACTGCGGATCGCCAATCATCCGGGACATCCCCCGTCCGCCAGCACAAATTGCACAGCAGATGAAAGCGGTCCCAGACGCGAGGCCCACCATACTTGACCATTTCAGCAGTAACTCTGTCTAGTCCCGCAGCCTTACCACATTTCAAACTTCGAATCGCACGTTCAATCTCTTTCATCTTGATGACCTCAGTGTCATCGAGGTCCGGGTCTGGCGTACCAGTCACGGCGTCATCCCCGGATCCCTCACTAAGATCATCACAGGCATACATTTCTCTATAAAATTCGCTCCATCGCTGCATGACGTCCGATTTTTCTGAGAGGACGTCATTAGTTCTCGAAAGCACTTTGTTCGTTCTTAAGGCCGTCGCACCACTTCGGGTCCTTCCAACCTCTTTCCAGAAAAGTTTGGAGTTCTCCTTGAAGTTGTGCGACAACCTTTCGTCCGCTTCCATTCTACACCTTTCACGCACTTCCTCAATCAATGCTTTCGTGTGAACTTTCTGCAGCCTATATCTTTCTTTCATCTTCTCTCTCATATCCTTATCATTACTAGAGGCCAAGTAGTCTAACCATGCTTTCTTCTTCTTCTTTACAGCTTCTTTCACTTCATCATTCCACCATGCATCTCTTCTTTTACTACTGCCTCTTTTTATTGTTCCACACACTTCTTCCGCTGCACTTACCATTCCATCCCTAAGGTTCTGCCAAGTTCTTTCTACACATTCTTTTCTGCCATCGATGGTGTCAAGCTTTTCGGCTACCCTCGCATGATATTTGTCCCTAGTATCCGCTCCCTGAAGCTTCCAGCTTCGGATGCGACAGACCGACTGTGGTTCTGTTACTGCCGTCCGGTAGCGCCAACCCGCGAACAGACCCCTAAATCTAGTAATCACTAGATAGTGATCCGTTCCCAGGTCAGCACCCCTGAACACTCGCGTATCCATCACCTGTTTTCGCAGTCGGTCATCCACCAGGAACAAATCAATCATACTTCTCTCATTCTTTCGTTCTCTAGTATACATATGGATTTTCTTGTGATTAAACATAGTGTTTGTCACAAGAAGACCCTTTTCCTTGCACACCGCCAGTATAAGCTTGCCAGCATCATTAACCCTTTTATCGCCAAACTTTCCAAGTACCGACTCGTACCCTGGTCGAGCGGTACCAACCCATCCATTCAAATCACCACATACAACAATTCTTTCGTTTCCCCTAGCCAAATCTAGAACTTCTCTTACATTCTCCCAAAACTCCTCCAGCTCAGCCCTGGACGACGAAGCTACCGGCGCATAAACAGCCAAAAGGAATAACTTCGTCAGTCCCAA